GTCCGAGCACTAAGCACACAGTAGATGATCAGTTCTCATGCTCGATCGGCGCAAATCACTCATAAATGCCATTGGCAGATATGGTGATATACAGCAGACTCACAACTTCCTTGAGATGGGTGCTGCAGAACATAGCGTCATTGATCTCAACGGTGCTTGGTTGCTGAACTTCGGCCATTGACGGGATAGTTTAAGAGGTGGAACACAGACAGATGAACTTGGGTAGGAAGGGTGTGGGAAGAGCAGGATTCAAGGCCGGGAGGGTTTAAATAGCTGGGAAGAGGATTCGGTGTCGGCACGGGACATGACCATGTATGGAAGCATTGCGGTGGGGAAAATCTGGGGTAACCCAAAAATGGAAATTCGGCAAACTTCGATCACACGAGTTGTATTGCATAGACGCCGGTTACCAACAGGCGCTTCAGTGACTAGAACCTCGCCGTGGGTTGGTTGAAGGCTACAGCAGTATATGCAAGCTTTCATATAGGACTATAAACGACTTGTATTTGTCTCGTACCTATCTAACTGCAGGGCTCAACATTCCTAAGTATTCATCAAAATTGGTCATAAGATCAGGGCTTCCTTGGGCCTTTCGGAGCTTGAGTTCAAATCCTGACAGGCCAGATGACCTTATGCTGAATTATTTGCTGTGTAGGTGTCAGGCAACCTCCTAGGGAGGACTCATAGAGCACCGCGCAGCAGTTGGTCATGTACTTACGCATTGAATTGCCCAATCAGATTAGATTGTGACTAAGCAGAAATAATCACGATCACGTCCATTTCGTTTTTTCTACAACTCTGTATCGTTCAAAACTACTCATTGGCTGCTGGTCAACACACCATTCACTCATTTAAATTATCACCAATTCCATGACTTCTCATCGACCACGTTTCGAGCCCTCCAATTGTAACGCTCAGGACATATCACCTCCATCATTGACGTTTGCATATGATGACCTGAAATGGGTACCGCTAATATCGTGTCCAGCTTCCTTTCCTTCCGAGCTTGTAAGCATTTTGCTTTGACTGCTTCGATTTGAGCTCTAATAATGAACTATCAAGTTTGAGATTGCCATCTCTCAATTAGTTCACCACCCAGAGTATAATTCCACCCTCATACTCCGTTCAGAAACAGTAGCAGAGTTAACCTCCGACTTTCCAACGGCCATACCCAAACTGAACGGGAAACGAATAATTTCTTCTACGCATCGTAAACTTCTTGCTAGGCGACCCGGCCGAGACGCCCCACTCGAACAATACTGTTCCCTCTACGAATTGGAGGACAAGCACGATGACTCAGGCTCATCATTCCCAGATACCTTGCTTCTAACCCCGATAGTTCCACCTGGAGAGGCACTCCCGTACTACCACCCCGCTGTATATCATCTCGCCTTTAGATACCTTCAATCGTTCGATTCACCAATGTTACGCATCGAGGTTGTCCCGCTACCGAACACCCCTACGGATCCCAATGCACGGCTTTATCGAACATGTCTCGCTCTTTTAGACACCCTGGATCGATACGGCTGGGGAGCGCTCACGAATTACAAGAAGCGGGTTATGCACGATTGTCTGGTACCACGCGAACCGTATCAGGATTTGTATCTTGTCATGCGTGAGAGACATAAGCATCTTGTAGATACATGGCAAGAGGTTACAGATCCACTGAAGCATGTTTTCGAGGCAAGAATAAACGATTTGTCTAGCTTTATCATTATGCTAAGTGGAGACTAGGACATCGGCATCGCAACATACTTAATGCTTCTTTGGAAGGATACATTCAGTGCAAAATCGACTTCAAATCAAGCAACCGATGATAATGAACCCTGGAGATCTTGGCCTCGTCCGCCTGGGGGCTTTCTTGACTTTGGGTATGGACTAGACTTCTTCATGCACGTTTTGGAGTCAATGCTGATTATCTACAGATGTGGAAATGGACTCTTGACGCACATACTCACTCAGGAGGGCTACAAAGGATGGGGTATCGACGTTCGTGCCCGTACTTCATGGTCACACTACCCTCAATCAACGCAAGATGCCCTCCAAGTGCACGCATTCGACCCTACCTCTAGTATGCCTGACCCGTACCTCAAGTCAGACATTTTTATCATTGGGAATCACGCTGACGAACTCACACCTTGGGTTCCTGTACTCGCAACACTTCATGGCGCGTCAGGGTACATCAACATACCTTGCTGCCCTTGGACCTTCGACGCGAAGTTCGAGCGAAGCACCACGCCGATGTATCCCACTCCTGGTCCCGACTTTGCTGATAACTTGAATTTGGGTGGAGAGGGAAGCAATGGGAGCTCGTATTCTATGTATAGGATATGGTTGGCTTCATTGACTTTACATTGTGGGTGGGAGGTCGAGTGTGAGACGCTAAGAATTCCGAGTACGAGGAATTGGGCTATCATCGGTATGTACTGAGTACAGATTGGTTCTACCATTGTGCTATGACTGATAGGATTTTGCCGTTACAGGGAGGAAGAAATCGACCACTCTCACAGCGGAGGAAGCACTAGACAATGTCTCGACGATCATGACCAATGTATCGGAACGAGGGATCTTCAAGGCGAGGAAACCTGAAGGAAAGGATGGACACTGAGCGATGTCCTAAATGCCAGGTGGACATTTTTAGGAGAGGGGACGTTAAGCTAGCCAAGAACAGCGTTTTGCCACCCGTTGATTACGGATAACGACATCTCCTTTCCTGCGCTCCGACAGAAAAGACTGTAAAGACGATAGAAGCGGACATCATCCGTTTGCAATCCCATCCCATCCATCTATCATCTCTATAGTCGGTTCTGGATGTCAACATTAGCAGGTTTCATCGATATCAGGCATCTTTCCTATGTGAAAGACGGGGCCAGAAGGGGTATGACCCGCATTATTTAGAGCCTGAAGCTTGAAGGCCTGAAGGCCTGGCTGTTGACTTTAGATGTTCGTATATTAGTAGTACAGCCTGAGATTAAGAACTTTTCCTGGAGTGTTAGGATCAGGTCCTTCCAGAGTGTGTCCGTGCCTACTTGATGAGCCACGATCTCTGCCTGCCATTTATCTTTGGCGTTTCAGGACAGCTGGCTTGTAGTCTTGTATGTGATGCCTGTGTTTCCGTACCAACAAAAATCATATCGCCGTGACTGCAGAGAAGAGATTTAATATTTATCAATCGGATGATCGGATGATGTCATTCCAACGCTGCATTCCACATCCTTTACTTGCATCATCCATCTACATCTGCATCTGCATCAGCGCTTCAGCACTCAGTCTCATGACGACAGATCTAGAGCGGCTTGTTTCAAAGTGAGAACTCTACATCATGGCAATCATGGGACGTCATTCAACAAGCATAACAGAAACCGGCTTTTGACTTGTCCACGTCATCACTCACTAGCGAACGAAGACTTCCAGGGATAATTAGAGTTCACGATCCATTTGTCGTTTCCAAATAGTAGCCAGGACTTTGTAAGTTATCCTACCTGGTCGACAATCCCAGCGTACTATCTAACTCGGACCACTCATTCATAGATCCTTTTTGTCGCCCTTCTTTCATCCTCCTACTTGGCTCCATACTCTGTGGCAAATGACACGCCCAATCACACCTACGCCAGTGCTCCCTGCCGAAATTTTGGACACGATTGTGGAGTATCTTCATGATGAACAGCGCTGCCTTTTAGCACTATCTTTGGTTTGCCGCCGTACTCTCCGAAGGAGCCGCCCCTTTCTTTTCGATACACTTGTGATCCAAAAGAGTCGCCAGTTTGATCGTTTCTTGGATCTTCTCGAAGGTCCCACAACCATTGCTTCTGTCATTAAAGCTATACACATAAAGCCTATCGATAGCTGTCACAACCACACACTCGACAGATACATGCCCGAGCACTCGCTTGCACTGATACGGTTACAGAGCGTCCATCTGGCTTTGTTCGACTGGCCACGATTGCCTCGGCACCTCCAATCATTCGTTCTAACACTCTCAACTTCAAATGTGTCCATTGAACACGTATCATTTTACGAGGGTTCAGATTTTCTCGAGTTTTTCAACAGCAGATTGATCAGAGAGTGTCAGCATCTCAGCATTCATGACATTCAACTCGATGACGACATTATCGATTTTCCAAATTATTTGGAAACTTTCCCCATCTTTCGAAAAGGCTACCACATTTCGGCCATCGACAGCTCCTCGCTGCTTAACTTTTATGGTGTATGGGACCCTCGGAACCGCGATACAAGCAAACAGGTCGATTGCTTTTATCTTCGCCTCAAGGGCATGAATTCAGTCTTTCGTCAAGTACACCTGGCATTTATCCAGCGATTTGTCACGCACGTCGGACCCTCTTTAGACCGCCTCTGTGTCGAGCTTGGTGATGACTCGAGTGCGTTTTTCTATTTTCGCTCCATCGAACTGTTGTTGACCTGAAATAGGCATCTGGCCGCTATATACGCAATTCGACTACTCAGCTTGCAGTGCATTGAAGGCCGTCTATCTGGGAATCTATGATGTAAATGAACAATTGTCAGGGGCTATGGATGCGACCTTCCACATCCTCAAATCGCTCTCTTCCAGTATTGAAGTCGTTGGCATTATATTCGACGCGCGAGCTCAGAACAACGGTAGCTTATATGCCGCTCTGAGGACCATTTCGTGGGTGGCCATGTTGCAAGAGATGCAGCATATCTTTCCGTCGCTGCAACGAATCGAGATCAAGATTGGCGGATATGACCTGGACAAGAATGTTTTGGTTGCGCAGGTGGATATACTTGCACGGGATATTGCTAGAGACCTCGGCGCAATACCGGCAGTCTTCAAGGCCAGTTTCTGGACACCACTGTCTGTTTCGACAGTAAGTTTCAATTTTGTTCTTCTTTTTTAAGTGTTATGACGTAAAAACTGTCAGGAACGAGTCGATTGGAAAGAGTTTTCGGGTCTCATGCTGATGGTGCCCGGCTGCTAATAACAACAGGCCCGACAAAAACAATTATCACCAACCTTCAAGGGCGAGATGGCCGAGCGGTCTAAGGCGCCAGACTAAGGCCAAAGCAGCTGCTGCTTACCTAATATATCTGGTCTTTCGAGGCGTGGGTTCGAATCCCACTCTCGTCAAAGTGTTTTTATCTGTCCTTGGAACGCTCTCAATCTCCCATCCAGGTCATAAGCATGAGGGAAAGCGACAATACACGGCCTCGGACGGATTTTCGATGTTACTTTCTATTCCTTGGTAAAAAAAAATTTCAACCTACCCCCTGGTGCGCTTTTCATTTGTCGCCATAGCGCAGACAGAGAGGGGCTTAAACCCTGTTCACACCGTATACTTGATGCGTCACGGATTACTTGGTACAGCGACGTCACAACGCCTTCACTTGCCACTAAAAACCGCTCTTGGAGAAATTTTGAACTCTGTGATCACACCGCCGCCACCTAAACCCCTATTCACACCGTATACTTGATGCGTCACGGATTACTTGGTACAGCGACTTCACAACGCCTTCACCTGCTAAAAACCGCTCTTGGAGAAATTTTGCACTCTGTGATCACACCGCCGCCACCCGTTGACCATTGGCGCTAGGTACGATGTTCACCGGGCAGATCATGATGGTGTGGCCGCGATGGCCAGATAAGGCTTAGTGTTGACATCAACATATTCCCTGTCACCCCAAGTGTCTTTCCGTTGATATAAGTACAGTATTCGCCAAGTTTGAAATACAAGCTGCGACTCGGATAGTCAGATTCATAGCCTCGCGGCCCCCATGCACTCACTGCGATGAGCGAACTCGCCGTCAGGAGAGGTCAGTTGTGCCTCATGGATGTCACTGTGTAACTAACCCTTGTATCACAGCTGTCATTACTCTTTTCCATTGTCTCGCTCTGTTTGCCACCGCGTTTCGCGTCATACATCGCATAAAACGGAATCAATTCGCATGCGACGATTGGTGGTCTCTCATTGCTGCTTTGTTTGACTCGGTCATTTTTGTATGCTTCGCAATTCAAATCTTGGCTTCTAGTAATGGTACAGCTTTCATACATCGATATTTTCATGCCATGCTGAAATCAGTTTGCAGGGCTCAGGTCAGCTCTTTCAGCTGAGTTACTGGAGGCAAATTATTTGTCAATGTTCATTGCATTTACTTGTACAATCTGGTGAGGCTTACGCTTGAGCTTTCGGTGCATATCGAATAAACTTTCGTACCAGGGCATCTCGAGTAAGCATTGCATGCGGCATCCTTCGAGTGCTCCCTGCAGGACGCGCAAGGCTACTTCTGTATTGCCTCACCTGGGCCTTTCTCGCCGACGCAATCGCCATGATTGTTCTCAAAGTCCATGTCTGCAGTCCCAGGCATCAATGGATGGATTGCGACCTTGGAAGAGGTCTCAGCTTCTTCAAACTCTCCTGTATGACTCGTGCACCTTGCTGCTTGATTTTGTGCTGACCGTTCGAGAAACAGCCGACGTAGCATCCAATTCTTTTCTCGCAGCATCTACGTTTGTCGCTCTTTGGCGCTCAGCCCTACCCAGACCACTGCAACACATTATCCCTGCTGTTTTTCTTACGATCCTTTGCACCGTCAGCATCTGCGTTGTACGGGTATTTGCAGGATTAAGTATAAACTTTTCGTTGTCCGATACTTCCCTCTACGGTCTGACGACCAACCTTGAGGTGCGTAATTCAATTCATGATTGAGGGACGGAGTTAACGCTCACTCTAGGCGGCACTGACCGTTCTCGTATGCAATCTGCTTGTGCTGGTGACGTTTATATACCGCCGTACACGAAGTGTGCATGACATTGAAGACGGTCAAGAGTCCAAATATATTTCCGTCGAAATCCCTGGGGACATCCATGGATCCACGTCTTTGACTAGGATCTCCACTGGAAGTAATAGCACAAGCTATCCCCTATCACTTCGTGGAACATCAATATTTCTCGAAGCAGGCTCTTTCTCTAGTAGTGAAACCTAAAATCCCGGGTTTCAGTGATTGAAAGCGACACCACATCGTTTCGGACCGAAGCGAAATCCCAGCGGAAAGGTTCGTGTTGGGTTCAGATGACAAGGAATTTCCACCAACGCGGTGGCATTATTGACACGAAAGGCAATGACCTTGAAGGATTCCCGAGTGGTGCTTCCCACTCTCCGAGTTCTCAGGCTTAGTCAACGCTTTCTCGCATGGCGTCTCTCTCCCTTGAACACCGCTCTACAGTTGGACGGCATCTGATCGTAACGATATTTACTCTCGTGTAGCAGATTGCAATGTGTAATTAAGTTACAGCATTACATTGAATGGTGAATGCATTATGAACCGGAAAGTGTCTCGAAGACTTTGGGTTCTACATTCTCCCTGAGGGACTTTTACTGACGCAAGAGCTTCCGACAGTTTGCTCTACTTACATTTACAAGTTCTGAAATTGGTGCTGACTGAAACCTATCACGTCGGAAGCCATGTACGATGAACTTACGGCTACATAAGACATCTTTGTCTGTCGGCCTGCCGTGCTAGCGCACAACCGTCCGCTTCGATCGTTTCAGTGAGCGGGAGGCGAATAGAGGATTGACGCAATCAAACACCCACTCTTGTGCGTATGTGTGATGAGATGTAAATCAGAATACCTCGAGATACAAGTGCCAATGTACACATACTGTAGCTTTCCAAGTAATAGAGCTAGGGATACCGATGGAGTTAATCGAATCCACGTGGAAAAAGGGTGCCTTAAGCGCTCAATTTGTAGAAGTTGACATGCGTCCTTTTCCTTGGCTTCAACACACCACCAGCTGTGATCACCAATAGGCTTTTGTCGTGCGTAGGTCGAAAATATATCCCAATCACGCAGGTCGGGCTAACGATAATTGGGTTGCAGGATTGTGGCGTTGCAGGGTTCAACCCGTCTCGAAAATTGAATTCAACCCACTTCCGAAGTAAGATCTATAAATACCACAGGAGAAACTGTGATCGTCCATTTCCTCCGTCTCACCTCAACTATCCCGTGTATTCGCACTCTGCCCTCATCGACAACGTCGACAACGAAAGCAGTTTCCAAGGACAACGACTTCGTTGATCAAGGGATGGCATCACTCGAACCGCCGTCACGGCCATATGTTCTCAACGACGTTGGACGTCAGCCAGACTCTGCCAGCACATCGATAACCAACTTCGAAATGAGCGAAGCTGAAAACAGTTCGCAGACTGTGGACTATCGTGCAATAGAAGCTTTGTCACACGAGCCAGCACAGGAGGTGTCCAGTACAATGGAGGAGAAGGTCGATGAACCCAGTTCAAACAGCGCGGAGCCTCAGGTCCCTCAGACACCACAAGTCTATCTTACATTCTTGGTGATATCAGGGAGGAGGAAAACCATGTCTTTTGAGCCTGAAACGACGATAGGGAGAGTGAAGGAACTTGTGTGGAGCTCATGGCCTGCAGGTATGCTGAACCTTTGTAATTACATTGCCCCTCTTTGACTCATGACTTTTCTGAAGATTGGGAAGACGAACGGCCCGCTGGGCCATCTTTCTTACGAGTCCTGTATCTCGGAAGGATGCTACAAGACGACGAGACGCTCTTACGTATGAATTCGTTTATTTTGGTACCCCACATCCTTACAGCTTCTCTTATCAGAAATCAACTTTCCCACTCATACACCGCAGTCTAACCCTGCTCCCACACCAACAATCGTGCATATTTCTGTCAGGCCGTTTGCCCCCCCGGGTGAGACGGAACTCAAAAAGAAACGCAAGAGCAGGCAAAGTGGAGATTGTAAGTCTTTACATTTAATGTACCCATTGCATGCCTGGGATTGAATCGGTTTGTACAGTGGATCCGGATGCGCCAAGTGGGGCAGGTGACGAAGGGTCCAGCGCTGGATGCTGTGGTTGTATCATCTGTTGAGTAAACACCGGGTGAGCCGTCCTTAGGCATCATGCACTTGTCCGTGTTGCTCATCCAATGTTGCTTTCGGCTACAGGCCGAGTTCCTCTGAAGACCTTTGGCTGTATCCATCCCCGATGCTCTCTATTTCGCTTCCACTCACTTATCATCATTATGTTCTCCACCTCACCTCCTTTTACTCCATCACGCGTCATGTGGGGCAACCTTAAGAAGTATAGTTCCTCAATGGATCACCAATCATGGACCAACCAACACCCGCACTGTCACTCAGACACGCCTACTGTACCATCTGCTTCACCGCATTGTAATGCTACCATTTGTCGGCGGACTTTTTCGAAACGTTGACCCTTCTGGTATGATTATAATTCATTATCGTCAAGTACGCACATGTTCTGGCGTTCTTCCTTTCCCCCTTCCTGTCCTTTTCGGGGCCCTTTTGTTCAGACCTTCCATCGGTTCGCTTTCGGCTCTCGATTCTTTAGGTTCTTTTGTACTAACAAATACTCATTCTGCACGTGTACATTACGCTGAGCAATCACTATTTCCTACCTACAGCTATCTTTTGCGTTCTCGAGGAATTTGATCCGTTCGCAAATTATAATAACAATACGCCATTGCGCTAGACTGAAATGCGAGGCTGGCAAGTCACTTTTACATGCAGGAGTCACCTTGATTATCTTTGGTAGATCCAGCACATATGGGTGAACCCTCGTCAGGTGGAAGGAGATATTTATGCTGTTAATTGTCCCAGGTAAGTCGTAAAGTTATTAAGAAATGTATGCAATTATTGAGCGTAATTAGTCAAGTAGGTCGCGATATTGCCATCAGCTAGCATCAGGTTATGGGGTACTGTATGACTGATCTAGAGAGATGTCCATTGTCCAAGAGAGGGCAAGAAGCGGATTTTAGTACTCGGCACTAACAGCAGTGAGGTTTGACATCTCCAAATCCTGCGATTTGTTCCTTTCGGTGAGGAAGAACCCAGGGTGAAAAATGTTGAGGGTGTAAATCGCCAGAGTAATCATACCGCCATCCAGTATATCTAGAGAAAATAAGGGTCATGAGCTTAACGATCGCGAACTATACTGATCAAGAAACGTACTGAAGTATAACTGCGTGCGGATGATACGTCCTGTCCATCCATTTGAAAGCTCGATGAGACGATACACAGCACTTGATCACGATTAGCTATTAATCGAAACACCAGTAAGGAAAGCAGCAAAC